CTAATTATCTCCTCACAGGGGCGTTCAACCAAGGCTGGGTGGCCGAGAAAATATCCCGAAAATACTCGATTTGTGTGGCTGTTTGCATTTTTGTGGTCGGTTCAATTTTGCAGACGGCCGCACAGGACTATGCAATGTTGATTGTTGGCCGCCTCATCGGTGGCATTGGTGTCGGGATGTAAGCCTGAACGTAATCCTACCTTTTGGATCTCTTGAGCTGAATTGGCCTCTAGGCTGAGTATGGTGGTCCCTATGTATATCGCGGAAGTGTCGCCACCAGAGATCAGAGGTAAGTTTCTCATTGACCCTGCTCTCGGCGAGACTGTGTGCATTGCTGATCATGCGAAAGGAACTTTGCTTGTCCTTGAAGAGTTTTCCATCGTTTTCGGTATCATATGTGCCTATTGGTTGACCTTTGGCACCCGTTATATCGGCAGTGAATGGTCATTCCGACTTCCCTTCCTTCTGCAGATCATACCCGCTGTACTTCTGGGCATCGCTGTCCTCTTCATCCCCTTTTCACCCAGGTGGCTTGCGTCAAAAGGGCGTGATCAAGAAGCCCTGGCCGCTCTGGTCAAACTCCGCCGAGTCCCAGCAGACGATCCACGAATTCAAGCCGAATGGTTGGATATTCGTGCTGAAGTTGCGTTTCACAAGGAGGTTGCTAAAGAGAAGCACCCCAATCTCGGCATCGTGGGTTGTCGGTCTCGTTGGGATGCTGTCAAACTGGAACTTGCGGCTTATGCTGATTGTTTCAAACAAGGCTACTGGCGCCGCACTATGGTCGGCGTTGGTCTGATGTTCTGTGAGTCCTCATTCTTTGTTTCTGGGCTCTTATCTTCTGCATTCTCCCCGGCTTGGTCATGGCTAACGAATCTTCGCAGTCCAGCAGTTTGTTGGCATCAATGCCCTGATCTATTACTCTCCCAGCTTGTTTGAGAGCATGAATGTCGATTACAACATGCGGCTTGTTCTCTCGGGTATACTGAATGTCACGCAGCTTGTTGGAGTTTCGACATCTCTGTACACCATGGATCGCTTCGGACGGCGGCCGCTTCTGCTGTTGGGAAGTGTCATCATGACCATTTCCCATGTCATCATTGCAGTCCTCGTGGGTCTATACTTTGAAAGCTGGAATGATCATAAAGACAAAGGTTGGGTGGCCGTTGCTTTCCTTTTCCTCTATATGTTGGCCTTTGGCATGACATGGGGACCTGTGCCGTGGGCTATGCCATCGGAAATCTTCCCAAGTTTCTTGCGAGCGAAAGGTGTGGCATGGAGCACCTGCAGTAACTGGCTCAATAACTTCATCATCGGCCTAATCACACCACCTCTGATCCAAAATACTCAGGGATTCGGAGCGTACACATTCTTCGCTGTCTTTTGCGCCCTGAGTGGGATATGGACTTGGTTCTGTGTGCCAGAAACAAAAGGGCGCAGCCTTGAGGATATGGACCGGGTGTTCGGAGATAGAGCTGCGGCGGCAGATAAAGCTCGAAGGAAGGAAATCATCAATGAGCTCAAGCAAGTCGATGGTCGAATGAAGCAGGAAGAAATAAAGACAGCATAACTGCATTCAATACGGATCGACTTATTCCAGTCCGCGATGAACCGGAAAGCCTGTGGCTGAATCAAGAGTGCAGTTTTTGATCTTTGTTTTCTGCGCTCCCTTTAGATTGCCGGCGTCGATGGGGTCGCACAGAGAGGGATTCTCTGTTCTCTTAGGTGATCGAGAAAGAAATGGCGACTGTCAAAGTGCCACTGCCTTCTTTCATGGTTGTACCGAAGCATCGACATGTCGTTTGATCTGCCTAGAGTTTATCGTGAAACAACCTCCTACCTTTCCTCCAACACTTCGTGCGTGTAGTAAGTCGGAGATGGGGTTGTTCGCAGACTTTGAGCGGACGTCTACCATGAACTGCGTTGAAGGATCGCAGGAGCTGACACCCGCCACTCTTGATGATATGGTGCTCGACAGTCCTTGTGTCTCGTCGAGAGAGTAGCGCAGGTGACTCGCTTCACCAGAAACGGCCATCTGAGTCCATCTTGTTGGCGATTTGAACAGCGAGCTCTTGTCGACAGTAGAACCAAATAGCGATGACTCGCGTTCGAAGCTGAGCATGCCGACAAAGGGATGTGAGGGCAAGAAGATAGTCATTCCTTCGGATGAGTACGAGGCAGAATAGAACAAAACCCCAAGAGCCGAACAGCCCCACAGAAACCCCCGTTTCACCCCCACAGGTCAGCATCTGGCTGGAATTACGGGGTGACACCGGATCGAGGTCGAGGCTCAAACAACTGCCGGGGACTAGACAGTTTGCAATTCATATACGGCATGAAGTGCCGAGTACATGACAACAGATAAGTAGACTTGGCCGGCGTCGGACATCTAGGAAAAATTTCTCTTCAGATATCGTTATTTCGATTCTTCAAGCAGCTCAAAAGCAGCATTCTAGTCAGGACAAGTAAGGACGATCGCAAACAAGGCGCAGGGTGACCGAAGCGAAAAATGACAATTCCGTCTACTCACAAAGTCTCCATTCTGGTGGTAAGGATGCGCAATGACCGCTTACTGCTCAGAAGCACTCACGGGTGGATAGAGGCACGATGGGACATACCACTTTGAAACCAAGACCATGCCGGTCCCCGAGATCAGCCCTACCGATTTGCTAGTTCGCTTGTCGGTATCAGGAGTGTGTGGCTCGGATTTTCATCTCGCAGAGGGCCACTCGGGCCCAACTTGCGACATTCTAGGACATGAGGGCGTTGGACGAGTTGTGAAGCTTGGATCTGCAGTGAATCCGTCCTTTGTTAATGTTGGTACTCGGGTTGGCTTAGGATGGGTGCGGGACGTGTGCGAAGAATGCTTCTGCTGCTTATCCCCAGGCGGCGAGGGACGTTGTTTGGCAAAGTTGTGCTCTGGCTTGAGAAGAGACGGTACTTTTGCAGAGTTCGCCGTTGTCCCGTCGCGGTATGTAATTCGGATCCCGGAGGATGTCCCTGACGATCTCGTTGCACCGATTCTATGTGGCGGGGTGACGGCGTACAAAGCCATCAAGGTCGGTGAGGCAGTCCCAGGCCGATGGATGGTCATCTCAGGTGCTGGAGGTGGTGTTGGGGCTTTGGGAATTCAATATGCGAAGGCCATGGGATACCGGGTTATCGCGATTGACGTCGGAGATGCCAAAAAGGAGTACTGTCTGAAGCTGGGCGCCGAAGTGTACTATGATGCCAAAGATCTCGACACGGCAACGGTCATGGCACTCACAGGAGACGGTGCTGCGGCAGTTTTGGTCATGGCGAACTCGGGGAGAGCGTACCAGGCGGCACTGGAACTGGTGGCTCCCTACGGGACACTTGTCTGCGTGGGAATACCGCCGGAGGATCAGCTGGTAAACTTTCATCCTATTCTGGGTATTTCCAAAGGCGTGAAGATCATCGGCTCTGCTGTGGGAACCAGAAAGGACATCTGGGAGGCAATCGAATTCGTGCAACGGGGCGCCGTGAAGCCAGCAGTGGAAATGGCCACCTTGGACGATCTGTCCGATATTGCGAAGAACTTTGGAAAGGTGAGCAGCATCCTCATTCTTCCTCTCCCCCTCTTTCTCTGGGACATAGCTTTGACGAATGTATCTTTGATCGATCGAAATCAGACTTCGGGCAAGTATGTCCTCCGGCTGAGCGATGAAATCAACGGTTCCGACTCCGGGAATGCTGATGCCCTGAAAAACGGTCACTAAGGGAACATGGCACGTCGAGGTCTCCAGTGAGACGAGGATACATACCCTTTTTTGTGCAGCGAGATTCAAGCAATAGATACAGATCGAAATCCTGCATATTGACGTTTTCCAAGCTCGGATATCACGGAGTGTCGACTGATTGGACTTCGCTTGAGGAGCACCATCTTCGATCGTCCCTGGTCTGGAAGCTTCCCCGCAAATCATGCTCAGCGCTCATGCATGATTTGCCATTTTGAAACTTGAGTCGTGCTTCGTCAACCGCTCATCAAACTCACCTCAGCATACGATTTGCGAAATGATGGCCAGGGCGTGCAGCTCCAGAACGCGCTGCTTTTGCCATCAGGTGATCGACGACGCCCGGCCACACCTCAACCCCTCTTTCGTCATGCAAGGGTGTTTTTTGAGAGCTGACCTGTCGTGTCCATACCCTTCTCTTTTGCATATCTCTTCGAGCTTCTGGACTGCAACTCCAGGTGAAATTGACCAGTAATGTTCTCGGTTGCAACGATGGCAGCACGACCTCTACTGCTTAGCCTCGCTTCAGCAGCTCGGCCAAGGGCCCTGTGCCTTCCCATCCGAGGTGCAACCAGACGAGCGTTTCAGCCATCTACAGCAAACCTCAGACCCACGGCTGCCACATTGAGTCCTTCAGAGTCGATTCCGCTCAATAGCCAGACACCAACGCCGGGCACCGTACTCCCTGAAGCCGAGGTGTTTCCAGAGAACACGCACGCGGCCTTCCTGGGTGAAGCTGACAGCAATGAAGGGCACGACGCCATGCGAGAGGCCCACGGGGCACCACAACCCGCCCTCGAAGCTGAAAATTCGGCATTCCTAGGCGAAGCAGACTCGGATGATCACTTTGAAGTGCGCAAGACTATAGAGGGAGATAACAATCCGCCCCTGGATGCAAACAATGCTGCGTTCCTTGGTGAGGCCGATAGTGATGACGGCTTTGAGGCACGAAGGGCGGCTGAGAGGGACAAGCAGGAAGGCCTGGATGCGACAAACGCCGCGTTTCTTGGTGAAGCTGATAGTGACGATGCACATGAGGCTGATTTTGACATACATCCCGAGAGACATCGTCACAGCATCGAAGATACCAGCGTCAGTGGGTTGCATGGGCAACAAGGAGAACAAGACCAGTGAGCAAGTAAGCTGCAAGGACCACTGCCGATGGATATTCCCCTTATGTACCTGAAAACCAGCCCAATTTCAAGAAAGCCCATTGTTATTTTGTTCTGATATAATTGACCCGTCTTATTCTTTCTCAAATTTATCGTAGTCCTCTTTGCTCATGAGATTGTCGAGCTCATTCAGGTCACTCACTTCAATCTTCGCCAGCCAACCCTCAGACTCGGGGCTTTTGTTGATCGTTCCTGGCTTCTCTTCCAGCACCTTGTTATGATCGGAAATCTTGCCCGACACAGGCGTCATGATGTCGGAGGCAGACTTGACGGACTCGACTGCGCCGATCGTGTCGCCTTTGGTCACTTCCATGCCGAGTTCGGGAAGCTCAACATAGACGACATCTCCCAGGGCCTTAGCTGCGTACTCGGTGATGCCTATGGTTCCTGCGCTGGAGTGTAAACATCCTGGCGATTGCCCAGAGACCAAAGCTTTGAAATGGTGAAGATTGCGCTGGGGAAACATACCTGTCTTGCCGTCGCTGTCGAGCTCTATCCACTCATGATCTTCAGTGTATTTCTTCACGCATACTGTAAGCAAACTAGAGTTAGTAAAGCTCAAATTGAGAGAGTGGTGACGCACGGGCAGGTCTCGCAGAAAATGATCTGGTAGAAAGGTAGGTCGATCGACCTAGGTGAGACTTGACTGATGACCGCGGGACGACCACTCCTTTCGTGACTAATTTCGAGACTGCCGGCATGAGCCGACCTAGGGTAGGGGAAACCATTGTATGTTTGTCTTGACGCGGAAAATGAAGTGGAAAGACGCGAATATTTAAAAGGGCTCTGTTGTGAGCTCCGCAAATGCAATCGATAAAGATCTTGCGATCGGAGACAAACCCGCCGTCAAAATGCGCCGGTGAAAGTGGAGATCTCCCTGAGAAATTCTCGATTCCAAGCAAATCTAGCAATCTACCCTCGTATACTCTCAAGAGGTGACACTGCGGCCTCATTGAAAATGCTGTACGAGCTGATAGCTGTGGTAAGTACCTTGAGCTTTGTGCTCCTCGAATTCGAAGACAAGATCCAGCTGACGTATAACAGGTCCGGCCGGGCAACCTCAATCATGTCAAAGAGTACGCTTGCTCTCCCAGCTTCTTTGCACAAGTGGAATCACTCACTAACACACTTTGACTCTGCGCACAGAATCGCCCGCGTCGCCGGCCAACAGATTCTGGCCTCCAACGGTGTGATACGTGGCATGAAGAACTGGGGCCAGTTCGACCTCCCCCGACCGACCACGAAACATCAAACTCAACATCGGCAGGGCCATTACTTCGTGATGCAGTTTGACGCGTCGGTCAAGGCCCAGCAGGATGTCCGGCGATTTTTGAGTCTTGATCCACGAATGATCAGGTTCAGTGTCATTAAGATCGGCGACAAACTGGGCGGCATCAATGGTGCAATTGAAGAGGTGGACGGAGAAATACCCTGGAACTCGGGCACCCAAGTCAGAAATCCATTTACGGACCCTCGAACAACAAGGACAGGACCTCTAAGATAGCCAAAGAAGAAAAATGACGCGCTACGAAGGCGCAGTGCAGGAACATACGAACCATGGCGAGAGAGGCATGTCCACATGTCATTTCTATCCACACACAACTCCGGAGGAACACACGCTACAAATGGTGGTATCATCAACAAGTTTGTTCATCAAAACAGGCTCCACCGCCCTCTCTCCTTGGTCTGTGACGCCTTCGCCTGCTGCGTCTTCGTCCGACCCTCTAGCTGCCTCAGACTCTCGATCTTCTCTAACACCAACTCCAACATCTCCTTCCGCTTGATGACATCGAGATGTCTTCTGATCTTGGGGTCTTCTCTTGCAAATTGTTCGATCTCGTTGGGTTCCAGATGACGGCCAAGCCTCAGATCTAACTCGCGGGGGAAATTGTAGTAGAATTCGGAAAGGAGTTCAACATTGAGGAAGAGCACCGCTGTAGACGTCAGCTTGTCGGCGACGACGTCCAGGAAGATCTCGGGGCAATAGTATTTGTTTTTGAGATTGGCACATTGCTTGGACTTGACCGCCATTAGGCGCATCTTGAGGATATCGGCACGGTCACGGAGGAAGACGGCTTCGCGACCTTTGTAGAATAATTAGCCTGACATACCTGTGACGGTTGAAGATGTTGACATACCCTTTTGAAGGAGAGCTGCTGAAAACCCACCAGCGCCACCGGCTCCATCGCCCTCGAGGACGATGTCTCCCTTCCTCACTCGGTCGATGAATCCCATCACATCTTTAAGTTTTCTTTTGCCAATGTTGTCTTCCAATTGTCTTTGCGCAGCTTCACAAGCTTTAAGTTCGTTCTTCAGAACGTGACCCACGTTTTCTCGTCCTTTATTCCACTCATTCGGCTCGACTTCGATCTCAAATTTGAATGGCTTGATACAATTTTCGACCTGATCGCTTGTACTGTAGAATCGATCATTCAATATGCTGGATGATGCATCAACAATGGAACGTTGAGCGTATGGATGTGAAGCAAACGTTGAGGCGGCGATCAACTTGTCGACATGGCTTTGTAGTTCCGCAGCCACCACAGTAGTTGCCAGTCTCCCAACGCCAAGTTTGGTAAGCTCCGATGTCGAAGCGTCCAGTTTGCGCTGCCAATATAACGAATGCGGATCAGCCTTGGGCAGTTCGGATAATGGATCTGCTTCGGGCTGAACCGGGGATAGATCCTCCACGGGCTTGTTCCAGTATCTTTTGGCCAGCACATCCATCACCTTCTGGTCAAGAACATCTTTCAACAAGGCTCTAACTTGAGGCCTGCCAAAATGCTCGCTAAATTCCTTGAATGAATGCTTGAAGCTGTCCAAGCTTTCGGCCAAGTACGACTCAGCACTGAGCGGCCTATCGTTATATTGTACTTTGAACTCATAGGTTGCCTCTTCCAGCTCTTGTACGATAGCATCTCTCGTGCCAGCAAGGCTCGCCGCCATTGTTTGCTCAAGAACGTGCATGAGCTTGTGCCGTAACGTGGTAGTACCCACAGCGAGTTCTGATTGTGGACCAAACTGTAACGGATGTGATGAGAAGTATGCATGTTCATTTTTGATGATGGCATTTGTCACATTGGCGCCCGATCTAGAGAAAAGTCCCGCTGACTGTGGTATCTTACATACCACGCCAACATAACCTAGCCTCAGAGGATATTTTCGATCCGACAAAATTTCAGCGCCTCGGTGAGGGTCAACCAGATCCATTTTCGTGATAACGCCGATCGTTCTCTCACCCCGAGGGTCAACTCTCCGACTTGCCCTTAGGGCAGTTGAATTAGCCAAGTCCACGTCCGCGGCGGAGATGGCTAGGATAACATTGGGCGGCTGGATGTATTTATCGCATAAGTCGGAGATCTTCTGCTTCAGCTCGGAAGGCTGGTCTTTGCCCGATACTTGGATATAACCCGGCAGATCAATCAGGGATAGGTCTGGAACGTTAGGAGAGTAGATTGACAACTGAATAGGGTCGTCCGTAACACACTGCTCCGGGGGAACAGCGAGATTGAGGTCGGTGAGAATCTTTTGTATTTGCGTAAAATCCGTGATTCTGCCCATTCCGAGAGTGGGGAACTCGCCATACTCTGCTTTTGCATCCGGTGTGTTTACCAGCGTGAGTTCGATCGGGCGCCTGGTGACCATATTAGAGCCTTTTGGTAGGAATTCATGCCCGACGATCGCCTCGAGCACCGAGCTTTTCCCGGATGATTGTGAACCGATAACCACAATAGATGGTAGCGTCAATGCGCCTCCCTGGCCGATCGTATTGAGAATGCTTCGGATCTCAATCATCTTTCTCGTCAGAACCATCATTTGATCATCTCGTGCCATTTCCGCAGCGGCTCGCTCGTCATCCTCACTCGATTGTTCCAGTACTATTGCGGCAGCCGAAGCAGCAGCAGCTCCGGCGGCGGCCTTGCTCGGCTTGGGCGGCTGTGATTCAGACTCGCTGTTGCCAGACTCCTCCCCCTTTTCAAAAAATTGCTGGAGCCATTCCGGTAGATGTGCCTCTTCTTTTGTGCGCTCCCAACCGACTCCTATTTGATCGACAATCCCCTTGGCACCCTCGAACATATTTGAGGACGTCTCCGAGACCGCTTCTCCGGCTTTTTTCAGGACGTTCAAGGTATAGGTTCCGGCCTGGGCGGCTTGATATTGGATGTAAGCTAGGCCGGCAAGGATGCTCGCTCCAAACATAGCAGGGATGCGAGCCATTTTCAGGGCGAGCTTTGGAAGAATCCTAGCAAAAGAGATGGATCGGACGGCGGGGACATTGTGTATTGAACTGGACCCGATCGGCCATGCTCGCAGAGGGAGACGGGCATTTGGCCTCAACAAGGCCCCAGGTCTTGTGGCAGCATAACTGTGGTGAAGGAGGCGTGCAGAGACGCCTCGCTGGCGCAATAGAGGCGCGACCCTCGCAGAGAGGAGTCTACCGCTCATCCCAGGTCAGGTCGAACATGAAGGTTGATGAAAGTTGAATTAAAGAAAAAGTTGTGGAAGTGGTGTCAACTGATACATGATACTACTCGTTAGGTACTAGGTAGTACGTTGGGGCAACAAAACACGAGAATGCCGAATGACGTGGGAAAAGATGCACTCTGTGGCTCGCCCTGGGTGCTGCCTACTCCGTAGTCTCGGTACAAAATCGCAGCCACACTTATGGCCGCCCAGCCACATATGAGTCGCCACAATTTCGTGATCTCTTGCCCCCTGCACCAAGCATGGCGGCACCTGGCGGTGAAGTTTGGGACAACCAACATCAAACCCGCATGTGTCACCATGTCCTATTGAAAAACAGCAATATCTCTGCTTCTGCCTGTCTCCTTTCCATATACACCGGGGTCCTGGCGTTTGTTGGATCGGGGTCATTTGATGCTTGGACTGCTGATACCTTTTGCCTCCGTGCAGAGAAATATAATGCGCCTGGTCGAGTATATGACTCAACAACCAACCTCACACCAAAATTGGGTTAATTTTCAAATTTTACCTGTTTGAAGATGTGCAGATTTCTTGTACGCATATGACCCTTGTCTATGCTTACATTCCTACTCACAGGGTTCCAGGTGTACAAGGGCTCTGAGCCGATCATACTTTCCAAGTTGATCACTGAACCATCGCACAGCATTCTCACGCAATCTTATGACAGTCGCCTCCGCCTGGATAGCCGTCGCCCGGTCAATGGGGATGGCTTTGGGGTTGGGTGGTATACGGAGCCAGAGTTGGGTCCAGATCCATGTATCTTTACATCGACTTTACCGGCATGGAACTGCGTGAATCTCGAACGTCTTGCGCCGAAGACAGCCTCGAGGCTGATCTTTGCTCATGTCAGGGCCACCACCGAGGGGTCGTTGGCCGAAAACAATTGCCACCCTTTCCAGCACAACACGTTGATGTGGATGCACAACGGTAATATCGGGGCCTGGAAGTACGTGAAACGCCCATTAGCTGACAGTCTTTCGGACAAATGGTTCCTTGGTGTGAAAGGTGGCACTGATTCGGAATGGGCGTTTGCGTTATTCCTCGATACCTTGGAGCGTGAGGGAGTCGATCCAAGCTCCGAGCCCAAGGGTGGTTTCGATACCAAGACTCTGCGACGGGCCATGAAGAAAACCATTGCCCAAATCAATACGTTCGTCAAGGCCGTTCCTCCCGAATACAAAGTCTCAGATGTGGAGACTAGAAGCCTGCTCAATTTTGCCGTTACAGACGGCCACTCTGTCAT